CTGGTCCATGCACATCTGGAACACATCTTGGCTCATGCAGGAACAATGGAGTCGTGCCGCTATGTTGCTTCGGGTCTATTGCTGCCGCACGCGGTGTGGCATGTACATGTTCAGTCACGCTGCACACATGGTTGATCATTCCAAAACAATCAGTGAAAAACGGCTTATTTCTGACGAAATATCATGCCAGAAGTTCGGTAAGAATGATCAGTGATTACTTAGGAATGTGTCCTGGATTTAGAATTCAGTTGTTTACCGCTGCCACCATGTTAGCATGTGGCCTAAGGAATGAGAACACACACGCACAGCTACACTGTCCCTTGCTTTATTCCGCCATGATGGTTAGAGTGTCTTGCGCCCTCATGTGACGGGTGGACATGTGACAGTAGGCATGGCAGCGGGACCATCATGGAATTTTGCTGGAGGCAGAGGCTTCTGCTTGGGCTGCGGCATCTTGTCCTCACAGATGGGCAGGCTTAAGAGTTCAGAATGGAAAGTCCAAAGTGTGTGCCGCAGTACACAGTTGCTACTGAGTAACTCCAAGTTAAGATGAGAGAAATGCAAGTGTTCTTGCCAGCATTGGATTCCAGGAGGAATTTGCAAGGCCAACAGCGCAGGGCCATTTTTCCAGAAGGGAAAGTCTAAAAAGTGTGCAGTAGCATTACACTTCACTCTGACCAGTCGCAACTGAGTAACTCCCAGCCAGAAATGGCAGAAATGCCACTATTTTTGCTGGAATTGGACTCGAGAAGGAGTGAGGTAGTACCCCTCACACTGAACAGTCACAAATGAGGAACTGAAAGTTAACATTGACAGAAATGCGACTGTTCTTGCCAAAATGAGACAAAAAAAGAAGAAATACTGAACCTTATGTAATAGGATGAACTTTGTGCTCCCCATTTTTTTGAAATTCTAACTCCCTCAGAGTTAGGTCGTCCAATTGCTTAGAAATGTGTGGGTTGCTTGGCAGCGCGTGTGGGCAGGTTGGTAGCAGAACTTGCAACCAACCACAGGAGTCCTTGAGGAGGAGCGGATAAATTCAGTGGCCAGTGACCTTCCACTTGACTTGGCTACTGGACTGATCAGAGATTGTCCTGTTGTCTCTGTGACCTCTCCTTTCACTGAATCTGCCACACTTGCAAATTCATCCCTGTTCTGCTCTAGGTGAGTTTTAATGATACTTTTGTCTTGCATTTATGCCTAGATTGAAGTGTCTGTTCCTTAGACCAAGTTCTATCCATGTTGTCATCTCTTTAAGGTTCTGTTGTTTCCAAATACAAACACCATTTCTTTTGCGATATCTTCCACGATTTGTCCAAACATTCTGACTTCATGGTCCCTGAACACTGAATGAATTTAACTTCCTGTATGAGTTTCCATTCATTTGGAAGCTTACCATTCTTATGTAAAAAGACCTCTGGCAACTAGCCTGAACTAATTAAAACCTAATTTAGAAAGAACTGACTTCTAGGATTACTTGTATAATACTATCATCCTTACGTTTTCATGATATAGTACTCCTAGCATTGAACAATCACATTCTCTTGACTAAAGTGAAGAGAGGTATGTTTTCCTCCTGTGCAAATTAAGTTTGTGAATTTGCAACATTCTTCTGTGTTTTATTATTTGATAAGTTTCAATCCTTTGACTTGATTCGCCTTTAATTAGTTTTTACCATGTTGCATATATTCAGTAGTTAGTTTTTCTTTATTTCATTTCTTATATCCGGGTGTTTAATCGTTTGCTCTAAATCGATTTCATTGCTCAGGACTTGAAATTTTAATGTTTAATCTTAATTACATGTAAGTTTTACCTTCTGATTATGAGTCATTCAAATTCCCCAAACTCAAGAGTTCCAAAGTTTTACCGCAACAGTTGTAACCTTATAATTCCTGAATTAAAACACCGGTCTTGGTGTAGTGTCCTTGTAGCACCTTAGTCATTTCTGTGTGAACCAACCCACACACAGCCACAAACAGTTCTCAGGTAGACGAGGACATTGACCAGCAGTGGTAACCATGACAACCTTACACACAGTGTAGCATTTTAAAGGGACTTTCACTTTCGATAATCTGTACAACTACTTTACTTAGTACAGCTAGTACTTGACTTGGCTACTGGACTGATCAGAGACTATTGTCTCTGTGACCTCTCCTTTCAATGAATCTGCCGTACTTACAAATTCGTCCCTGTCCTGCTCTAAGCAAAGACATCACTAGAGTGACTTCAGTGAGCCTATTGAGCAGCATAAATGCTGGACAGTGAGTGGCTTGGACCAGAGTCACATGAATTCCATTCCCACACCTGATTTAGTCAAGCCGGGGAATGAGAGACTGTACATTTGAGCCGTGCACATCATCTGTACTTGGCCCATGATCTTCGGCATCCATTCACGTCCCTTGAACTGAAAGTCCTTCAACTGCAAGCTCCACAGGTACGTGCCAAGTCAAGCCAAGACAAGCCATCCCCAACTTCAATGCATAGATCATCTTCAAGATAGGCCCTTTATTTATTTTCGTTGTTAATTCATAATTTTTTTTTGTGAAATACATGTAGAATCCCTGGGGTTTTCTCATCATTTTTGAATATATGTATTGTCTAAAGTGAGGATATTTGTATTTTCGTACAGCATGCGAAACCCTTTTGCTTTCTTAGCTGGAAATAAATTAATTCTCGCTGATTGGCAGATAATAAAAGGCGTAATCTGGTAAACAAATAAATAATGTAAGCGGGTGTCATGATTATCAAATTATGCCCGCAATACTTATTTTAATTTATTACTCAAATTAAAGTACACGTACTGTCTTGTTGAAGGCTGAGACATAAGTGAGCACATGGAGTTTTTCCTGCCAACTTTTCCCTAATCTGCTCAAGAAACCCTTACTACTATTGGTCTAGGCCCAACATTGCTAGCTACCATCCTACAGTCTTATGCATTGGCTGAAGCCATCTTGACCTTGATCATCCATTGGTCAAGGAACTAGACATCTGATTGGCTAAACTCCCTAGGCTGGCTAAACCTGCACAAAATTACTCCCATAAGAAAGCACTACCCACTTAAGTCTATCAGTGAGCATGCAGTATTACTCCCATAGTTTGCCAGTGTATACACATGATGCTGTGAGGAGTGAGCTGTATTTAATTATGCACTTGTTAAATTGTAAAGGGGTGCACACTTCAACCTGGTTTTCCCTGCTTATAAATAATTGATGATAAATTAACTTAGAAACATCACTGCCAGAAAATTCTTACACTTCTTTCTCGAAATCTTGCTATTCTTAGAAAGATTATCCAGTTTGTCCCCTCTCATATTTTGCTTTCCATTTATAATACCTTATCTCTGTCTCATCCTCAATATGGTATACTAGCTTGGGGAAATACTCATAAAACTTGCCTTGAGAAATTATTTGTAATTTGGAAGAAATCGTTAAGGCTTATAAATGGTTCTTGCGTTCAAGATCACTCAGGCCCGCTATTTGTCAAATTTAATACCTTATCTATTTACGACCTTTACAAATATCACTTGTGTGATTTAATGTTTAAGTTTGAAAAAGGAATACTGCCTCTGAATATTAAATCTCTTTTGCAAGGAACACTGATATTCACAATTATAACACCAGGTTTTCAAATAAGCTTCATCTTGATAGCGTCACAACGTCTATTCACCTTTCCACTGTTTGATACCTGGGACCCCTTCTCTGGAACCAAATCAGATCTCTTTGTCGAATGACGACAATTGCAACTTGCAAAAGGCATTATAGGAAACTTTTATTAAATGCGGCAGACAATCGAGAGTATGATTTCTCCTAAACAATGCCAAAGTTGTATCTATATATTTTTAAACCTGTATTTAGGATTTTGTGACGTTGTATACAATAGAACAGAAATTTCTCCTTACAATGTGTACAAACATCATCCTTAATTACAAACGAGGACATTGTTGAATCGAGTGTGCCAAACAAGGGGATAATCGGAACAAATGGAGAAGAGTACACTGTAAAATAACTTGATGTGAATGCCATGATTGTGATTGATCATAAAAACAAGCTAACAATACAAGTCCATCAACATTAGAAGTAATACAGTCTCTAATACTAAGTAATCAAAATAAATTTAAAATGAAGTTACACACAGGTGGATTACTAGAAAATATTCTAAGGACAGCAACTCACCCCATATGACTACTGTGTGGACTCGAGTGTTGGGCTTTTGACCAGTGGTCTGCTGGGTGGTGGTGCAGACTGAATTCTGACCCTGGCGTAGGCCCTTAAATGCCTGTTACAGTCTCTTGATGGACATTTCCATCAAGAATGTGATTGGTCACTTGCAAGTTTGACCAAACCTTCCTTAAAGTTTGATTTGCATATAAACTTCCCCATTGGTCAAATCTTCGAAGGTTCATTGTGTAACTCTGCTAATCAGCAGGATCAGCAGATTTTCTCCAAGGCTCCAACAACCTGCAACCTCCAGTTTGATGATTCTCCCAAACAATGAAAACTGACATTCTGTTTCTAAAAAAAAATGGTCAGGACTGTTGGAAAGTTCCCCTAAAACAATGGACTGGATTTGCAAGTGGGGTGAACATCATGACCTCCACCATTGCATACTACAGATAGTGCCGTTTAGGTTGCATAAGATTGGAAAATATCCCGGGAATGAGGGAAGCAGAATAAGAAATGCAAGATAACCCACACAAAAAATTTACCTTTTTCCATTTCCTGACAATAATTAAAGCTATTCATATCTGGTTCTGTACGTAATTCTTCGTACGTTCCTTTAATTTCATAATTGAAAAGGTCAGGCGTAACCGCGTCAACAAACTCTGTCAAAAGCTGCTTATTTTTGACAAATCATGTTTTCAGAGTAAACTAATTGTTGGATGCTGCTGACACTTGAATGTAAAATGCGTTTGTTTGCTTCTTTGTCTATATTGCACCAGCTTGTAACAGGACAACTCACCGAAGTATTATAATACATATGTATTTTGTTCAATTTTTTAGTGATGATATCTTGAAGTACATTTGCCTTGAGGGTCAGCCACTTAAACCTCATGGAGCTCGCCCACGTCTCTCACTTTACCTGTCTTCACAGCTTATGTTCGGTGTGACCAGAGTATACAGAAAACAAGTGGAATTTCTAAGCGGTAAGCCTCAAAAAGAATATTGTTTGATAGTGTAAAAGAAAAGTTGAGTAATTGCAAACCTAAATGTTTGATTCCATTGAGTTTTATTGAAGGGTCCAATTCAATTTTATTTTTGTTTTGCTACTTGAGAGAGTTTTTGGTGCCTCTTTGGCTTTTTATGCTACTGCAAATTAGCATATTAACATATTCAAGGGGAAGCCATTGTGCCATTCCAAGAGGCAAACTCCATGTTTTTTAAATTGTGCTCAAAAACTGCTGAATTTTTGATATTTTGGTGCCCTAAAGTTACTTTCCTTTGGTGAATTCTTGTTGTCTAAGTACAAACCAACAAGTAACCCTTGTTCATGTGATGGAAACATTTTCTTTTCCAGTGGCCAAAGATTTTCAAAGAGAAACATTTTACATGTAGGCTGAGAACTTGGTGCTTAAACAATGGCACAATACAAAAACAGATGTGGGTTAATTTACAAGGACAAGCATCACAATGATTATGTGGCAAGATGACGTTACGCTCAGCCAGCATTTTTGCTAAACCTGCAAACATTGAAATGGTTGCTCACCACAGGGGTCGGTCATAAAGTTAAAATGATCTTAACGTTCAGATACCATTTTAATACTGCAAATTCAACTTGAAGTGGTTTGTCTCCATTTCTGAGGGTCACAGGGAACTTCCACTTATTAACCACATCGCGCTGGGGGATTTATGAATGTATGAATGTTGATTCTGCTGGGATGGTATATTTGGCTTTTTCGCAACTTGCGAAAAAGGCATTGCTTTTGTTCTTTATTTTTTTTTTAGCTTTTTCGGTCTTCTTTTTCAAATTTTTGCTATTGACATAACATGGGGTCATTCTGCACACCACTTTTGGTCCTAATTTTGGGCCGATTTACTTCAAACCCGGCACATTGTTAGACTACCACCTGCGGATGTATGCAGAATCATGACGTTATTATTCGATTTATTACAGAATTTTGAACATTTAATTTTTCCCCATATGTTTTTTACACATTTTTCAACTGCAAGAATGGCATAGACTTTGATCACTTCAGAAAATGAAACTTGGTAGAAGCAAAGACCATCAATATAGATATGCCGGTAATCATGGCGTCGTGATGACGTCTTAATCTGATTTTTTATTGAATTTTGAGTATTTAATTTTCCCTATAGGTTTTGTACATGTTTTTTAAACAGTCAGAATGGCGTAGACTTTGACCACTTCACAAAGGAAACTTGGTACAAGCAAAGACCATGCAGCATAGATGAACCTAAGAGCATGACGTCACTTTGACATCATAATTAGATTTATTATATAATTTTGAAGATTTAATTTCTCTCATCGACTTTGTACACTTTTTGAAACCCATTGACTTTGTACATACATACAAGTGCTGTTTTGCCTAAGCGTCTGCGCATGTCCGTACTTTGTGGGATCAGCTGACCTGTGCGCGATCGGTAGATGTGAACATTGTCGGACAGTCTTATTACATGATATCTTGATAACTTGGCTGGAACGTTGTGAAAAAAGTCATGCAAAATATTGGGGGGGCATGAACTCGAAGATTTCATGTTGAAGACCATAACCAATTTTTACACTCAACACAAAATCGTCCATGCATGTATTAACCATTTGCGCGGTCTCGCGTCAACACATGGATTGTGTTTTCTCAGGACCTCTTGGGACTTCCCAGACCTGAAATTACACCAATTGAGTTCTTAATGGATTTTGCTTGATCAGAGGATTCCAAGGTAATCCCCAAAAAGCTGAACTGAAACCAAATTCATGCACTGGCACAAGAAATTGCAGAAGGAGTTGACACACCGAATAGGCATGATCACAATGATCTTTAGCAAGGGTGCACCAAGCCCAATAACTACACGTACCGCAGCGGGCAGCTGGGTTTAGAAGCTGGATGGATGAAGTGCTGGAACTGGGTCTGTTAGGCAAAGGTATACGTATTACAAAACATTCTCAATTGCAAGTTTTTGTCTGCACTTTCTGTGCTAAGTCTGGACGGTGATGTCAGGGGAAGAGAGCTCACTCAAATTAGCTCTAAATTTGCACTGACATATCCCAAGAAACTTGAACTCTACAAATGGCCGCTTTGAACATTTTGGTATGGTGACCTTATGTCCAAATGATGGAAAAGACGATTAACAGTGATTATGTAAGTCCTATATGTTCAGCACAATCCAGTGATCAACTTGCGTATATTGTTCAATGGTTTTAGATTGGTGGATTTTATTCAAAGGCATGTCAAATCAGGATGGAGCATAATACATGTACATGTATGTACTGTACATTTGGAAGTTTCATGATTGCGTTGAACATAGACATCAAACTGACTAAAAAGCCCCTCACGGTGCATACTGTATTTCATAACTGTCGTATTATCTGGCCGGCTGCCGGATAGGTTTCTGTGCTGCAAGTGCAAGGTTCTCACTGATACGACTGCGATTCATCAGAGGCAGGGGTACCAACGAGAGAGGAAGCTGCTGTACAACAAAGCAAGGAAATTAACAGGTGATGGTAAAAGGCCTACTGTTGCATTGACATACAGACAAATTGCCAGTTCTGATTAATGCAGTCATGAATCACAGTTTGTGTGTACAATGTATGTGCTTGTGGTGGGGGTACCATTTTTCAAGCTCTCGGACAAGCACTGAGCATACAGTGCTTATTAATATACGTTGGGTAAGGACAAAACCCATTATATAAAATTAACATCTCCCCAACGCAAAACTACATCTTGGAAATAGTTCGCAGTACCCACTGCTTCACTTGACTCGGACCAGCCAGCCGACCCCAGCAAGCTCGGTGGTCGAGTGCTTAAGACATCTGCACTAGTAAGCAGGAGGTCGTGGGTTCAAGTCCCACCCAAGTAAGCTTGTGAGTTTTTTTTGGCGAGCTCTTGGACAAGCACTGAGCATACAGTGCTTATTAATATACATTGGGTAAGGGCAAAACCTGTTATATAAATTAAATCTCCCAACGCAAAAATACATCATCAAATGAACGGTTGGCGAGAAGTTCCATGATTATCTCCTTGGAGCTGAATGCACAGTCTTTATCGACAACAACCCATTATCATATCTCAAGTCGGCCAAACTCGCCGCAGGAAAGATGAGGTGGGTGAGCCAGCTTGCCCAGTTTGACTTCCCAATCCGGTACCACTCTGGTAGATCAAATGCAAATACCGATGCTTTGAGTCGCCAGACTGTATGCCAAGGAGACCCTGTCAGATGTGACCAACTCGACATCACTCCGGGAGATTACAGAGGCAGCCGTTAGGGCAACTCGTGTCATCACTCATTCGGTCATTGCAGTAGAGGCTCAATCTGCAATGGCTGCCCTGCCAGGATATACTCCAGAGGAACTGGGCCGACTGCAGGATGGAGACCCAGTTATTTCCCAGTTCTGTGTGTTCTGGAAGCATGGCTCTAAACCAGACACAAGCCACCTGAGCTCATAATTGTGTGACACAGGGGAAAGTCAAGGCC